TCACAAACAAGCACAACCTAGCGTGAAATCGGTCTAAAACACGAGAAACCACATCTCAAACGGTGTAAGAACAGGGGAGAAAACATGTGTAACTAACGCTCTATCAAACTCCACCACACTTAACTGTTTGCTTGTCCCCAAGCAAACCTAACTCAAACCAATGCAACTCTCCAGACCTCTATAGCAACAAACAACCCAGATCGTAGGTAGAGGACTTCCTAGATCATTTAGCAGCTTACGAGGTCAACCGACGCACAAGTCATCTCATAGCTTCTTCGGCGAGAGCAATAGTATCGAGTCGGAATCATGGCAAATAGTGAACAGAGGACAAATGAATTGTGGATGAAGAGATTTTCAAAAACAAAGGATCATGGACTCACATTTTTCAAGGTGCTCTATTTTTTTTCTTGAAGATGGTTGGAACCCCTTTTTTCTGTTTTGCTCGTTTTCTGTTATTTTTTTCTTTTCTTTTGTTTTTCAAGGGTCCCAACCTACTCTTACCGGCCATGCCAGGAGCGGATGTCTCGAGCCTCGTGCGGGGGAAATACATGTAAGGGGGCTGGAGGTAGTAGGTGGAAATTGGGAACGGATTCCCGTCTCCCCTTACACACTTTCGCCCTATTCGCACGGGAGACGTTATTTTGAAGCACATTTCCGAGCACCTGTTAAACTCAAAACATGATACAAGAGTCCATGACAGGCAGAGAATCCACAACACCACACAATTCAAGGGTCCTAAGATCACTAATTCACTCAATCAACCAACACAATATGAAGAAGAAATGAGACTTCTTAAATGCATCAACATCCTCCATAGTGCTACACCACCTCCCTAGGTTGCATATTACTATAAAGACTGTCAATTCAAAGCATACTGAGCAGGCAATTGCAAGGAACACGTACTTGGAGCCCTCAAATTTAAAAATTTGGACAGTGGACTAGGCTCCAAGCACACAAACAGATCTAATGCAGTCAAAGATAAACATCCCCCCACACTTAAGATCGACATTGCCCTCAATGGCGAAGAGGAAAGAAAAAGGGAACGATGTTACCGGTATGCACGGACTGCAGGAGACTGGAAGCGGGCCAGTCGGAGTGAAGCGGAGTGGAGAGAGGACCGGTCAGGGCAAGCACAGCCAAAGGAAACCAAAGAGCTCAAACACAATATGTTAGGTCCAATGGTCAGCCCAATAAAACATCATCCAAAACAAAAACAAAAACAAAAAAAAAAACAAACCAAAACCAAACTGGTTTACAATCCGACTCAAAACACAAGAAAGAAAATCAAACCATGGTGGGGTTGCCTCCCCACAAGCGCTTCTTTACCGTCTTTTAGCTGGACGCCCATGGTGGATACACAGGGCGGTGCAGGAACATGTACCTCCAAGAGCGGATCCACGTCGCTCTTGAGGTACAGCTTCAGGTTGTGGCCATGCACCCGACGGCTGCGACCACCATCATCTGTCAGCTCAACCTGCCCATCTGGCAAGATGCAGGCGAGTGAGTACCCGGACGGCCAGGGTGGTCGTGGTGCAGGAGGTGGGACCAGCTCATAGTGGTCTCCACTCTTCTTTCATGCAGGCTTAGCAACCTGCTGCTTCGGCCGCCACTCCTTCTTGAGCTTTTTGTTCGGAGGCGAGGCTGGATGGAGTGGCGGCGAAGGAATGATAGGAGGGTCTTGCAAAATGAGAGGAGCAGAAGGATACACGACAGGCTCGTGTACCTGATCAGACATAGCATGCACAGGGGTGACAGCAATCATAGCACAGTGATCAAATTCAGTCACAGAAAAAGTAGCTTGTTCATTCCTAGCACGCAAGATCAGTTTACCATCATGCACATCAATAAGTGCCTTGGTGGTGGCAAGAAATGGCCTACCTAGAATCAAAGGTACATCCACATCCTCATGTATATCAAGAGTAACAAAATAAACAGGATATGTGAATGCACCGACACTGACAAGCAGATCCTCTATGATACCCCTAGGATGCACGATAGAACGATCAGCTAACTGAATGCTCATCCTGGTAGGGCTAAGTTCACCTAGGTCTAGCTTTTTATACAACTTATATGGCATGACATTTATGCTAGCGCCTAGGTCCGCCAAGGACTTGCCTACATGCATGCTGCCAATAGTAAGAGTGATAGTAAAACTCCCTGGATCCTTGCGCTTCTCGGGCAGCTTGTTCTGCAGGATAGCAGAACACTCCTCGCTCAGCAACACTGTCGAGAGATCCCCAAGTTTCTTCTTGTTGGTGAGGAGGTCTTTCATGAACTTGGCATACTTGGGCATCTTCGACAGTGCCTCCACGAACGGTATGCTGATGTTGAGCTACTTCAACATTGCCATAAACTTGGCAAACTCAGTCTCCAGCTTGTCTTTGTGTAGGCGAGTGGGGAAGGGAAGCTGGGGTACATGCTCCTTAACCACTGGTTGTGGCTTGGGAGCAGGGGCTTCCTTCTCCACCCGCACTTCTGCATTGTCGGCTGGAAGTGCTAA